CAAAGAAACATGGGGGAGGGGAGGGGCGTCATGTGCCCTGGGGGGACAGAACGCTCGGGACAGATAGCTCCCACATTTGGGCTAGGACAACGAAATCAGAAAAGGTTCACAGCCAAAAAGTGGAAACAACCCAACTGGCCATGACCCAGGGCGTGATTCACAAAGTGTGGTCCAATCGTGTGGACCTGGCAACCAACAGGAAGGAAACACTGAGCAAAGCCGCAAAGCGGGTGAACCTGAGAACTCCAGTTCCCAGTGACAGAAGCCAGGCTCTAAGGCCACACACTGTTCACATGGAGTGTCCAGAACAGGAAATCCACAGATGGAAAGCAGGTTAGCGGTTGTTGGGGCTGGAAGTGGGGACCAGGATGAACTGCAAGCAGGTGTAAGGGAGGTGACAGAAGATTCCAAACCCAGATGGCGGGGGCGGCTGCACAACTCAGCCAATTTACTGAAAATCATTGAAGGGCATACTCCAAATGAGTGACTTTTATGGCTTGTAAATCGCGGTAACGCTGGGTTTTTAAGGTAACCACTGGCTGAGAGAGAGGGGGCGCCAGGTTGGGAGGGCCAGAGAGAGTATGGGAAGGGTCACGGCATCCATTCTGGCCAACGTGAGTTGAGAGGCCTTTGAGCTTCCAACTGAGACGGTGTCAAGAAGGAAATGAAGTCTGGCCCCCACATGGGAGGTGGGAGCTGGAGATGTGACGTCCTTCGCACAGATGTGGTGACAGGTCCCGGGTGCGGGGAGAATACAGAGTGAGCCCGGGGCCTCCTGCCAGCCGGAGGGCCAGGGAGGCCACCCAAGCTCCATGGCGAGAGATGAGCAGAAGGCCAAGGAGTCCTGTCTGAAGGTGAGACAAGCCAGGGCAGGAGCGAGCCCTGGGCAGCAGGGGCCGGGCTCAGTCAGCCCGTGCCTCCCCCTCGGCCTGAGCCTCCACGCTCTTCAATTGCTCGGTGCTAGGAAGCAGCAGAGAACGTGGGAGAAGGGACACCCGCCCCAGCTCCCCCTCTGGAAGGATGCCAGCTAGGAAATCACGGCCAGTCCTCCGAGCGCAATTAAGAAGAGGCTGCAGTCAAGCCACTGATATCCAGAAGTCTGGGCTCCATTAAGTCCTGGAAGAAGACACACAGCTCTCACCTCTCAAGGGGCCAAGAGTAATGAAAAGGATACGTGCCCAGCAACGTGCCCAAATGGGGCTTGCCCAGGTAGGAAGCTATTCCTGTGCCAGCCTTCCAGAACCCTTTCTCACGATGGAGGCCAGCAACAGGGGCTTGATTCCCCTCTACCGCTCAAAAACTGCCAACAGCGTGAAGTCCTCTTTACATTCAAAATTATAGGAAACTCAGACACAAAAAGCAAAATAAACAAAGATGTGTCTGCGACAAAAAGACGAAGGTGGCAGTGAAACGGCTTTGCTGCATGAGTTCTATTTGGATCCTCAATGATAAGGGACCAAGGTCCCTTGCAAATCAAGCAGTCCATTCGGAAGCCAGTCATAGATTAGGGAGCAGCTCCCACCAGCGGATGTGAGGGGCGGGGATGTGGGGCTGCTGCTCTGGGGTAGAAATTTAGGGGGTGGGGAGGATGGCAATAAATTGACCCTGAAGGGTCAGGGTAGCTGCTGAAATGCTTTTTCCTAATGAAATATCAAACGTGAGGCACACTTATTTAATAAATGGAAGCACTATTAAAGCACTTTCCCAAAGCACCTGCCTGGAGGGGGGCCAGGCCCCTGCACCTCGGCCAACCTGTTGGGACCGGTTGTGGGGATGGACATGTGACTGACAGCTTCGCTCAGCTCTCAGCGCGACCCCTGGCTGGAGGTGGGCACAGGGCCCGCACTGCACACGGCCAAGGAGACCCCTGCAAGCACACCACCGTCCCATTGTGTTCTGAGTTCTACTTGTTGACATCACCTTCAGTGTAGATTAGAAACTGGACTGCTGGGCCCCAGTGCCAGCTTTGTTCCTACTTCCTCATTCACTGTTCCCCAAAAACATCAATCCCAGGAGAATTAGTTTCTATCGATTCTGGCACATGCCACTTGCTTAAAAGGCCAAGTTTATGGACTGGTGCCAGCACTCCACCGCACAGTAAGCTGTGTGTGCATCTGAGATGATCCGGAGAGCAGAAAAATGCATGCCTGCCACGTCCCCAGGGCCACCCTGCCCTGCCACTCACTCCTTGTACAGTGCTGTGAACCCGCCCACAGGACGCTACTGCTCTCGCTAGAAGCTTTCAAACTTCAGTCCCACCGGAGGTGTGACACACGGAAACAGAAGTCACTCGCAAGGGTGAGGGGACATGCCTGGGGGGGCCGTGCCTGGGGCGGGGGGACTGCGCCTGGGGGAGGCAGGTGCCACTCCAAACTGTCGCACTAGCTCCCATGTAGCTCTTCAGTGCTCCCATCTGTAACCTGGGACCACGGTAAACCTGCCTCGTGCCTGGGAGGGCGTCTCCGTAGGAATGCTACACTTCAGTGAAAATGCTCAGAAGTGCAGCCCACCTTGGGGCTGTTATGCGAACCAAATGAAACAACGCACGTAGACCTCATACAGTGTCTGTTCCGCGCTCAATGTTCAGGAAGCTGCAACAAGATGTGTTGGTGCAGTTAAGGACGCGGGGTTTCCCCACGTAGGAGATGTATCTGCAGGGATGTGTGACACCAGGGTGGGGCGGTGGCACACCGCAGGCTGCGCCCTGGGCTGAGTAGGGGGCCACCCTGGGGTGGTGAGGCAGGAAGGGTCAGAGGCTCCCCGGCAGCCCCCCTCCCCTGCTGGCTCTGCCTTCCCAATTCTGATCTTTACGTCTGGGGTGTGAAACCCCCGGGGTGCTTTTCCAGCCCTCCTCACCCCTTTGGTACCAATGAACAGTAACAGAAAATACAGGGGCTCCAGTGGGTAAAACCCTGCAGCGTAAGGTGGGTCAAACGGGTCCATGCTGGGGCGGCAGAGACCCCAGGTGAGGGCTTTCAATGAGCAACACAGCATTCAGGGGCTGAAAACAGATGAAGCCAGGTCCCTCCAGGTGACCCCAAATAATGAAAGCCACTCCAAAAAGCACCCAAAGTAAAAAAATGAGCACAACCTAATATCAGAAAACCCCTTGCAGATGCCCCAGAGAAACTGAAAACTCAGGGGAAGGCTCCAAGCAGCACCTACATTCTCCAAACTGGTCCTGGAGAGGTGACAAAAATCTAGACATTTTGCATCGATTTGCTCAGATACGGACAGATGTGGACACAGGGGTCCTTCTGTCTCCCCTCCTCTGGGGTGGGGCTGGGAGATAAAAGTTGGCCCAGGGCTGATTGCCCAGCAGAGACTCCCCACAAGACTGCTTGCTGAGTGGGGGCTGCTCCAAGGTCGGGGCGGCCCCATATAAGGACGGGGCATGCCTCAGTGTAGAGCATTCCAGAAAACCTCAGAAGAGATCAGAGAACCCAGGCCTTCTACAAGGACCCAACAGTCTAGCTCCAGGGCCTTCGCGTTCAAAAGGACAGACAGACCGCCCAGTCTGCTTCAGGAGGAAAAAGAGGACAACTCACTGACACGATCAGAACAAACAGGAAGACGCCCCATTGGCCGACAAACAAGTTGGGAAGAAACAGCACAGAAATAATGGAGACACTGCTGGAAAAGAAACGAAGAAAAGGAAGAGAGAGGGCATGCGAAAACCAGATGTCGGAGTCATCTGCACTCAATGAAAATACACGCCAGTGAAAAGATCTCCAAGAGCGATTTATGCTAGGGAGGAAAATAAGACATAAATAAACAAGTCAAAAGAATAATTATCAAAAAGAAAAAGCACAAGGCTCTGAAAACGAGTGGAAAGCCAAATAACATGACCACAATAAGTTAGAAATTACAAAGAATAGGATGAATCCAACGGAAAACACAATCAAGAAAAGCTCAAGGAAAGTGCAGGGAACAAAGAGGAAACCAGCCATGGCAGTAAAGCAATGAGAGAAAAGATAACAGACCTGGAAGAGGAAAGCCACTGTAAGAGGAATCGCTGCCTCTGAAACAGAGAACCCACCGATGACAGAGAGGACTCGAACATAAGAAAACATCTTTGAAACGTTAAAAGACCCGCAGGGCGACATCGTGGCAATACCCCTGAGAACGGCCCATCGCCCCAAACCGGAAACTCCACCAACCAGGAGCATTTAAGGAGCGCGTGTAGAACCCGGAGAGGTCAGACTTGTAAGTGCCTATTCTCTGCTTTAAAGCAGTTACTCATTTCATCAGAAACCCAGATGGACGTGCTGAAGGCAAGGACAGACAGTCAGGGATCAGGGAAGGAAAGCAAACACTAATGCGTCCTCAGGGAGTGGAGTCTTACAGTGCCCAGAGCCCTGGGAGGCAGGGGCAGGGGTTGTGACCTGGGGACGCATGCTCGCTCACTGTCGTCACTCGCTGTCCTGTGGTCAGTGATCTACTCAAGAGCGCCCGCTGTGCCAGCCCCACACATGCCACAGGGCCCACAACCCCAGCCCTGCCACACTTCCACAAGCCAACCCCGCGGGGGAGGCGGACCTGCCAGCAAGGACCCACAGGCACCGGGTGTGTGCACAGCAGAGGTAGCACAGGACACAGCACCGGGTCCAGGCCTTGAGGACAACCAGGAGCTGAGCAGTGAGGGGAAGGGCCCGCCAGACAGAGTTCGCATACCCAGGACCCAGGAAAGCGCTCCGGACACGGGGCTCCTGTAGCACTGAGCACAGCAGGGGACGAGGTGGGGCCTGCTGGGGCTGGAAACCCTGCCTGCTAATATGCTCACTGTGTGCGTTTCCTCTGCAAGGCTTGGCCTCCATTCTGGCACATAGAAGGTGCTCAGTGAATGGTGTGGACAGAGGCACAAGCAGCACGCTTGAGCCAGGAGCAGAAAAGCAGGGAGCCTGGTGGGGAGGGGAGGGCCGGCTGTGCAGAGGTGACCACGGGCCCCCTCCACTTCATGCCACTCCTCACGGCGACCAGAGACGAGCGGAGGGGCTCACCGTCTGCTGCAGGTCCTGGATGACGATACGGATGACCAGCGTGTTGCCTTGGCCCTCCTCCGCCCTGGCGCTGCCTGGCTTCCCCGCGGTGGCGCGGATCGTGTCGTAGATGGTCTCTTCCTTGGAGCTGTCGGACTCGGAGCCCATGGAGTAGTCGGAGAAGCTCTGGGCCATCTCGTCCTCGCTGGACGTGGGACTGCGCGGCATGGCGGCCCTGTGTCTGTGATGGGGGGAGAAGGAAGCAAACATAGCGGGGCATGAACATCAAGAAAGGAAAACCCAGGGGCAGGGTGGGCACTGGCGCTGGGATGAGTGTGGGCCCTGCATTGGCGTGACGGGCAGCAGGGCCCATGTGCGTGTAACGCACAGACCTCGAAGGCCGTGAGCAGGTGGCACCCCCACCACCTCCCCAAGCTGAGCCAGGCACAGTCAGGACCTGGGTGGGGGGCCCCGGGAGCTCTGCCCGGTGCTGGGAAACAGGCATTTCCTCACCGCTGTGGCCATGACCGCAGCTCTCTGGGGCGGCTTGGAACTTTCCAAGATAAGGAAAAAGGCTGCCTTTTGTTTGTCTGAGGACAGAGCGGCAGGCGGGGCAGAAATGCAGGCTTCGGGTCACAAAACGGTGCCAAGTTCACGCCGCAGTGACTGACCCCCCCCCCTCCGCTTTACACACAGTGCAGTCATAGGAAACGTGCAAAATCAGAACCAAAACACAGCCCAGGCTCAGGGATGAGATCATCTCCAGGCCCAGGACTGAGCTGAACCCAAAGGCGGACGCCGGGGACTCGGGGCCCCTGAGAGTCTGTGGGAGCTGGGGGTACAGTCTCCTCTCGATCAAGTGCAATGAACCAGGTCGGGTGCCAACTCCACCTTGGGCCACGGCTGTCAGCAAGCACAGAGAAGGACAAGGACATCACTCTGGGAGCAGGCCAGCCATGGTGCCACCCAGCTCTGTGGGCAGGGGTCCGGAAAAGTGAGCGTAAAAGTCGGTATGAACCAGGGGTGCCAGGGAGCAGGGCAGGGGATGTGCCAAACCAGCAAGTCCTCTTCCACTTGGACTCTGTACATCAGGTCAAGGCCACACACACAGGGGAAGGCGCACAAGGCCGTTCCCTGAGACACAGGCACACAGAGGCCAGCCTGTCGTCCAGGGCCTCTCTCTTCATGTATGGCACAGCTGTGGGGGTGAACAAACCCCAGATACATGTGGAGGACCCTAAACAATACCGCTGAGCGAAAGGAGGGCGATTTTCAGGGTGAGGCAAACACAGAGGAGCATTTATACCCAGGCTGGAGGGATGCCACCCGGTCCTGTACGTCAGATCGTGGGTGGACGGACATGGAACAGGGGCACAGAACCACTGGCGAGCGCACAGAGGGACAGGAGGCTTGACAGGGCTCATCACACCACTCACAACATTTTATTTCCTTAAAACAGTTCCAGCAGGTATGACATAATGTCAAGCTTTGACAAAGCAGGGGGACACAGATGTGTGCTGTGTTACGTCTCTGCTTTTCTGTCTCTGTGTTGGAAAGATTCATAGAACGGTGGGAGGGAGGGCGCTCGACATACCCCAGGCAGGTGCTCAGAAACGTCCCAGGCAGGACGCAGTTCACCCGGCACCAACTCTCAGTGTCTTGTGCTTCCACATCTGGAAAGACGTCAGGCTGAAATTGCAGAGGCCTTTGGCCAGCGAATACAGGAACAGCCATTTGCTCCAAAATTTCAGTTCAGAATTACACTGGGGTGAACTTGGGAATTTTCATTTAAAGAATAAAGGCTTGGGCCGGCCGAGTGGTGCGATGGTTAAGAACTGGCTTGGGACGCCAGAGGGCCCCGGTTCGGATCCCACATATGAGGGCCAGTGACACTGCCCTCCACAGCTAAGATGCTGAACAGCAGCTCAACCTGGAGCTGGGTTGAGTCGCTGTGAGTCGCTGGTGATGGCGTGGGCTGCAGCCCCTGCGGCAGTGGGTTGCCATGGGCTACCGTGTGTAGCCAGCAGCTACCGTGTGTAGCCAGCAGCCGCCGTGAGCGGCCGTCCAGAAGCCGGCGACTGATCTGCCTCGCCCGGGAAGAGTGCAATGATGGTGCCAACTTGGGCCAGTGAAGCAACGTCCTCCACAACTAGATTGAGGAACAAAACGACGGCAACTTGTCTGTTCCCCTTCCCCTAATTCCCCAGCGCTGTTCCCATCCCCCCAATTCCCCAATAAAAATCTTTAAAAAAAAAAAAGAATAAAGGCTTCCTGGGTGACTTGAGTGGGGTGCTGTTTGAGACGTTTAATCACCCCACCTGGGGAAGGACTGAGCAGGAGGCGGCGGGAGCGAGTGGATGGGTCTGCGGCTGGGGACACGGTCCAGGCTCCCGGCTCCATCTCAGTGAGGGCCCCGCCCGCCGGCTGCACCTCCTGGTAACACGTTCACCAAGCACGCATGAAGAAATCCATTCCGGCTTAATTATACAGCATACGTAAGTACCTCTGTATTATATGATACCGTTCTAATTATAATACAGAAATAATTGTATGTTATTATATTACTATAATATATATAAGTAGTTATAATGTATTATAATACATAAATATAAATTTGATAAATATGTTATATAATTATATATATATAATTATTTCTAACTACGTCCCAGGTTCCAGTGAAGTGTATCCTTTAGAACAGTGGTTCTCCATCCTGGCTGCTCAGGCAAGCGATGTGGGGAGCTTTACAAAAGCAGTGCCAGGAACTGATTTAGTGGTCTGGACGGGGCCGCAGTGTCCCTAGCATCTTTCCAAGCCCCCAGGTGACTGTAATGGGAAGCATAGCCCAGGTTCACTTCAAGCCGAGTGTGTGACTATAACTTTGAAGAACTCAGCAGCAGCACAAAGAGATGCAGAGATGCAATCAGCCTTCTCCCGGGACTGAGGGCCGTGTGCCAGGATAAGGGGCCACGTCCTGGGGTCAGAGGTCATGTCCTGGGGTCAGGGGCCGCGTCCTGGGATCAGGGGCCATGTCCTGGGGTCTGGACAGCAGGCGAGGTACAGCGCTCACCACCTCCAAGGTCAGGACAGACACAGTGTTGGGTCTTGTCACTGGGCTTCTGGTGGCCTTTTCTGCCCTGAGGGTGCAGGGTGGCTCAGAGTAGCTTCTGCTCCAGTAAAAGCCTCCTCGCCCCTCACCTCTGAACCCAGCAGGGTCCAAGAGAAAACAGTCAGAGCACGATGACTGGCAGCACATCACACTCACAGGCAGGGTCAGGACCTGCCGAGGAGGAATCCCCAACGCAGACGGAGGCGGGTCCGGGCACACCCGCTGCCCTGCCAGCACTCCCACTCAGGATGAGCGCTGGCCCACAAATCCCGTGGGGTCCGGGGCAGCACAGGCCTCCGTGTCACCATCTGAAGACTGGGCGTGTGCAGAGCCCCCAGCAGAGACTGGCCTGGACCAGACACACAGCACATGAAGCCCATGAGAGGCACCAGGCGTGGAGAAGGCAGCAGGGTAGGGGCCGAGGCACAGGCCCCAGGTTGGCCAGGCAGGTACTGCTGCTCTACAGGGACATGGCCGTGTGACCAGACCTGCAGGACAC